AAGTAATAAAATAATAGGTTTAATTGTTAGGTAACAATGCGGCGGAATTGGAAATAAAAGCAAATATATCTTTCTACTAACACGTATACTTTATTTGGTTCTTGATAACACAACGATTAGACCGTGAGAGAGCGAATACTAAAAGAGGGGGGAGGGGGGAGGGGGGGGGGAGTCACTTGTAAAAGAACAGAAAAGTACCCAGAAAGTATTCAAGACCGTCTTTTTTGTCTAAAAATGCTGTATGAAACATTTCACTGGCTACGGAATCTAAAGATAATCTCGAGACGATCTTGAATATGAGAGCTGAATACCATTCTAATTTTAGTAGACTGGTAACAAGTCAATAATTAATAAATTTACTATGTTAGGTGTATAATAATTTTTATAACGTTTGCAGATGGAAACATTCCGAAGATTACTACGTAATACGTCATAAGGAACAAAAAATGGAACATAGAAGAAGAGGCATGATTGTCAATATTGATACACACGATGAGGAATCCATATACTTAATAGGCCATGTTGTTAACGAAAAGAATTTATTTCCGGCAGCAGGATATCTTTACTTTATCTGGCAAATGATTGCATCGTTAAAAAAACAAGAATATCTCAGTACACCAGTTGTATTTGAAGACGTTAACTTCATTCGTGCTGTGGTGCTATCACAACAAAATGAAACCAACCTAACTCTAGTGATCCAAGAAGGTAATATCATTATATATATGAACAATTAATTTTTTTCGCTTGAGTTCAAACGCTGCAATTCACTTATAATTATATTTAAAAAATTTACATTTGTATCGTTTTAGGTAGTAATAGATTTGAAATAATTGAAGGAGATAATACAGTTGTTACCGGAATAGTACGAATTGCGACCAACATTGAAGATGAAAAAATATCTGTTGATCATTTCGCTGAATGTGTTAATGAAAAAGAAGAAATGACTACAAAAGATATCTACAAGGAACTGAAGCTTCGCGGTTATCAATACACTGGCATATTTCGTGGATTAATAAGCGCATCGACTATGGGATTAAACGGTCACATTGCTTGGGCATGTAATTGGGTGACATTTATGGATAGTATGTTACAGATAATGATTTTAGGACAAAATTCAAGGAATCTGTTGGTTCCAACAAGAATCCGGAAATTGATAATCGACCCGAAATATCACATACAGTTGATTGAAAATTGTCCAATTGAAGAAAGGCGTAAGTGTACAATAAGGGAGATACAGTATGAAACACAATTGTTCTATGGATATATTCTATTTATAATTGTACTGCATTGCAGAATTCCCTGTTTATAATTACAAGTCTTTAAATGCCGTAATATCCGGAGGAATAGAAATTTGTGGT